AGAGAGAGAGAGAGAGAGAGAGAGAGAGAGAGAGAGAGAGAGAGAGAACACCGGCCGCTAGATGCTGACGAGGAAACGCCGACGCCAATCGATACCGTCGACCTCGGCATCCTGCCGCGTTCGTCGGCGGGGTTCGCGATAGCGCGCGCCATCCCCTTCCACCATCGTTGCGTCTCGCTCCCGTGATGTTCCTCCCCCGTCCACGTCTCTCTTTTCACCCTCGCACCATTCTGCGCTTCGAGTTTCTGTCTCTGCCTCCGTTTGTCGGTGTCTCCTCTCTGTCTCCGGTTAGCCTGGCCGGTTCGCGTTTTTCTTCTATTTCGTTCTGCCTCGCGTGTCTTTTATTGGATTTATTTATTGCGTATGGCTGTATCCATTCTCTTTCCACGAGAACTCCTGGAATTAACGCTACAAGTTGGCTCGAGATGTGCGGCTCCGATGGAATTAATACGAATTATCTTCTCAAATATTATCCGCGGTACACCGTCCTAACTTTCTCGAGGTAGCTAGCAACAATATCGAGTCGTAACATAAACGAAATTGACTGTACGTTGCCTTAAATCGACAGACGTTAATTGTACGTTTTCTCGCTGGCTTGGGCCTTATTAATTGTAATTCTTTTACTTACATTACAGTAAATACCTACCGATCATTTATTATGATTAAAATGGTAATGAAATATTATAATCTCTACAAGTGTGTTGCGGAAGATATTTGTTTTTCCCGCGCAACCTCCTGTCGTCCTGTATAATTTTAATAATAAGATTTTTCTTTCTCATACTTTTGATAAAATTTTGTTGCTTTTTTCAACCTTGAGTTCTCATTTTCTATCGTTCTTACATGTACATTCATGCCGTTGCGATGATGTAAACAGATTCGCGACGTGTTCTCTGCGAAATTTACGGGAACTTTACCAATCATCTCGGAATGCAAGATCGTGCGAGAGATTATGAGAGCGCCGTAGTAATTAATGGGTTCAGATATATGATCCTTGACAAGTTCTATCTTAATCTATGATCTTCGTTTCATCTTACGTAAACTTTAAGAACATGTATAGAGCGATGATAACCAGATCGGTCACTTAGAATGAAGCCATACGGGAAATTTCTCGTGTCATTAACCCAGTTGGAAAATTCATCGTAATGAGAAGAGTAATTTCGCTTTCCAAGATTGTGTGTCGTTAACTTTTTCATTTGAGCAAATTTATAAATAAAAAAATTAGCGTACTTGAATAATGTTCGAACAGTATCCAAATATATTAATCCCAATATAAATTATTATCAATTATTGTAAGATTAATCTGCGCGAGCCACTTTCGATTCGAGTTATTTCAATGAAGTTGTTACTATTATACAGTGTACATCTATCTTTTTCTTATATTGCCTGATTATCGATTGATACATGTATTGTCAACCAAAAAAGTTACGTCGAACGCGTACGAGCATAATCCTGTAGCTTACTATCCTTAACATGGATAGGTGCCAACAACGCCATATATTCGTTGAAGGGTGGTTATGGTGGTTCACTCCATATACACCCCCCCTCCGATTCGTGCTAGTTTGCGGAGTATCTGATGGCGTCGTCAAGATATAACTAACATTCGTCGTAATGACCGTTTGGTCAACGAGTGCCACTCTACAGCCTCGGTGGCAACAGTGGAGGCAAAAAGAGGGAGATAGAAAGAGAAGGAGGGAAGGAGAGAGAAAATAAAAGAGAAAGAGGGAGAGAGGGAGAGAGAGAGAGGCTGAACAGCCGCACCGGTTATCCACCCCCGTCGCCATCATATAACGACACGTCGCGAGTCAGAGGTTGCCGAGCAACGGGTGATGGTCGGCGAAGCGATGTGCTCGAGTCGAATGGAGAGCGAGCGAAACGAATAATAACGAAACGGCCAGCCAGTCCCGAGTCCAGCCGCACGTCCGCACGTCCGTCCGTCCGTCCGTCCGTCCGTCCGTCCGTCTGTCTCGGACGAGGCACCGCACAATTGGAAAATTATTGGAAACGGTTCTTCCCCGAAAAAAATTTGCCGACTCTTGAAAATTTTCGTAAGTTTCCAATAAGAAAATTTCCAATAATTATTAATTTATGATATTTTTGTTTTTCAATAAAAAAAAATAGATGAGTAAGTATGTAAATTGCGTCGAGATGTTTTTTTATAATTGCAGGATGTATAATAGTTTCATATTTAATGTTAACATCCGATGCGCACCGGAGAGACGCTATTATTGCTATTTGTCATTCTATTTTCAGCGTATTATTAGATGTAAAACAAAGATAGAATGGCACAAACAGCGCTAATAGCGTCTCTCCCTCTTTTAGTATTAAGTTATAATTGTAAAGTATAACTTTTTGCAATTTATGTATATAATATACTTATATTATTACGCAAATATAAAGAGTAAATTAAACTAAAAAAAGTTTGTAAGGTTTAAAGTTATCTTTAAATTCACAGACATTAAATTCACGTCAAATTGTCTAAAATTACTTTTTAATCAATTACACGAGATCTATTATTTATCTTGTATTTTATCGATATATCGAATGTAAAGCTTACAGCCGCTTCGCGATGTTCTTCTAGATGAATGTTGAGTTTTCCTGCGACAAATATTTAGACACGAGTATGCGAAAGATCATTATGACTTTGTGTATTGAAGGTATTTGCGGCATCTAGTGTAGATATCATACATTCGAATTTCGCTTCCGAGTGGTCGCCATTTTGTTAAGGGTAGTTCCATTAAACAAGAGGGGGGCGATTTCGGGCCGTCGTTCCATATAGTGAAATGACGCGTACATAAATATATATTACGTCGTCTCGCATGCGCGCGGGTTGGTTCGTGCTGAATGTTTCGCATCTGTGTGAGTGTTATCTCTGGAAACACCGAGAGGCGCAAAGGGTAAAAGTCGAACACGTCATAGCACGTGGGTGGTATGGATTTCATCCCCGCGAAGAGACCACGTTGCTTTTCTTTCCAAGATCCCTCTCTTTCGATCACTTAATTTACACCCGCTGAAATAAAACGAAAAGAAAGAATAACGGTGCTTTACTAATGATGCAGAATTTACTTACGTTTACTTAAACGTAGATTTTATTTTGAAAATTTTAGAAATCTTAGATTAAAAATACTCTACTCCCAGCAGTAACGATCTATTTAGTCTGTGTAATATAATTATTAACTTGGCCCGTTACTTTGATGTATCTAAATGAGTTTTAATTGAACTCTGGATATACCAGTCTAAATTATATCCGATATTATTAAATGATTGTATATTCAACGCAGAGACTCTTCTACTTTCAAACGATCTAAACTAGTAACATGTATGAATATATAACTGTTGTGAGAGTAACGATTAACGAATGAATAGTAGATGACGTTAATGACACACAACATCCATTCGTGGAACTTACAATTCCATTCCTTTTCCGTATTCTCGTTCCTTTTGTACTCATCGCTTTTTCTCCGAGGCGCCGTCCTAAGTAGCGCCATATCATGGAGATGATTTACTCTGGAACTGTAAATTACGTTAGATAATGGGCTCGCCGTGAAACTTGAGACTTTAAAGTTGAGCCGTAAAATTTAAAACTTCGTTTAAAACACGATAATACGGGTACAATGACTACGACCGGAAGATCAGGAACCGGCTGCCTCAAATTAATCTTTTACTTTAATGCATCTTCATATATTCGGGAAAGATCTTATTCTAACGTAAATGTATAGAAAGAGAAAGAAAATTGTCTTGTGCGCTTTTTTTATTTAAAATTTGAAAAAAAAAAAATTGAATGCTCGTTTTACGTTGGTATATGCAAGTTGATATGTCCTGCGATTACTAACCTTATTATAAATATAAAATGTAATTATATAAAGAAATAAAAAAATTATTCATGTCATTTCAGACTGTGCGATAAAGAAATTTTATAAGAGGAAAAATTCAGGTTTTTAGAACTTTAAGGTAATCTGAGCTTAAAGTGAAATTCTTCAGAATGAAAATTCACAATGTAATTATTCGTGCCCGCGCGCGTATCCGCCATTTACGTGGCGATTTAAATGAGAAAAGATATCGAAGTATCCTTCCGCCCTATAAAATTCGACCACGATTACGTAGCTTGTTCGCGAATTACAACGGTAAGCCGTTAGAGACATTATGCCGAATTAATGGCATTAAGAATTAAATTCGCTCAGAGTTAATAATTCTGCTGTTCCTGAAATATTCGTTAAAGTGCCGCGGAAGCAAAATTTAGCGTCTCAGAAAATTGCTCGGAAGAAAACGATAAGAAAATAGTACAAAGAAATACTTGTCTTCTTCGACAAATTAGCGGAATGAGCTAAATTGAACCTGTTTCGAAGTAGTATACAAAATCAATACTCGCAAATCCATGCAAGACAAACGAGTCTTTAAAAGTCCTTGATGTCTACGTCAGCTATCTTGAATTACGACGCCAGACACTTGGAAATACACGCGAACGATTTTCCAATTTACATCTATATATGAGTGCTCGTACATCTATATTCTTCTATATTTCCTGCATCCTCGAGTATGCATGAGCCTCACTTCGAGTGAGGCATAAACAACAAATTTTGGGTAGCTATAAATTCAAGTAACATGTGTGTGTGTGTGTGTGTGTGTGTGTGTGTGTGTGTGTATACAATATATAATCCAGATAGAAATTGAAAGACCTGTAATACGAACAAAAAAGCTCACAATTTAAATAAGATCTTTAGATATGTATATATTGAAATATTGTATTATAGAATTTGTTTAAAATGAATCTTATATGCTGTACAGATTGCTTATATACGTATCTTCCAATCAATATTCCGCACTTAAAAAATGTGATTTGCACCACTTGCGACATAGACAATTTGTATCCTAAAAAAGATGAAAAAAAAAACAGTCGCAATAATATAAAACGCCCACGTGTATATATATATATATATATTTATGCCATAAACTCCAGCGTTTTGCATGTTCCCCTACTTGTTCTTCTAAATCCATCCGATCGCTTATCTCTCTACCATGACATTTTCCTCCGTTACCGCTATATCTCACGGTCCGGCCCTCTTCTCCTTACGCATAAATTTATATCATCCGACACAAAGACCTGACCTCCTTCGACGGTACAAAGTGCGCGGGGACTCGCATTATCGTCGGAGCTCGAGGACAGGGGGATGATTCACCCTAGAACTGCGGAAGGGTGCTTGAAAGAGGGAAGAATCGAAGCGGCGTTGCCAGAAATGCAAAAAATTCGTACGTATAAAAACTCTCCGGCTGTAAATTTCAATAGATCAAGAACTAAAGATCTTGATTATGAAACATTTCTTTCGTTTTTAAGATCGCGATTACAATAATTGTATTTTCCAAATCAAATCAAATCAAATACAGAAATCAAAGTTATATCATTTTTGTATACACACGTTTTACTTTTTCACGCATTAGTATTTTTTTTTTTTTAACATTCTTAGTTTGAAATATTTAATTTTTGTAACTTATGCAATATTTTTTTTTTTTTTTAGTCATGTACTTTTATTGCTAACGTCTTAATAAAGTAATTGTTAAACATAAATAAACGTATTATTAACTAAGAATTTAATTTGCACGATTATAAATATGTATTTTTTATCAGTACAATAATTAATACGTCTAGCCGTTCACAGAACGGATTAAAAGAATAGCGTTTCTGGCAAAACCATATTAAGTCGATTTTATTACGAGCGTGATCTGTGTCATTCTCAGCCGTACAAATTAGAACGTACGTACGAGGTTGACTTTAAAAACATCACAGTGAAACACACGCACGTAACACACGAGGGCAAATCTCAATCCCTGTTCTCGTTCGTTGTAGGTTCGTAAATTGTAAATCTGTCGAGTATACATCGCGATAAAGTGCTGCAGATACGTCAGCGTCCCGTACTTGTATTGTTTTAGAACCCCTATAACAGTTGGCATGCGCTTTCGCGAAAGGGTGGGTCACATATATGTATAGGATGACGATGAGACGCCAACACATCGCGACAGAAACGCTCTTTCGACCCTGCCATTAAGACTCCCCAACACGTCCAACACGACAACGTGAATTATCTCATTAGAACTGTCGGAGACAATAATTCTTGCGTGTATCGAATTCTTACGAACGAATTTTTCTCAACAAGAATCTGCAGACAGAATAGATGGCCAAAGTGCTAAATTCAACTACAGTTTATAGTAACAATAAGATTTTTATATTTGATTTTAACACTTCTACTTTTTAAGTTTTAATATGTTCAACAAATTCTTCACGACGCGCTTCATGACACGTTCCGTGATGATTAACAACGCTGCATCTTTGTCACTTTTGCGAGTGACTTAAGAATTATGAACTAATTATACTTGTATTATTCTTGCTGGGGAGGACATATAACAGAATCGACATCGATCCAATATCCGATTATTGATTGTTCACTAAATAATTGCGCCGTTTATTGTTGCTGACTCTCATTAACCTACTATATTTATCTGTTTGTATTGTTTAAAATTTCAGAATCCTAATATAATTATTCTTAACAATAAGATATTTATATAATGTGTGTACGACTGTATATTTAATTAAAAATCTATTACATCAATATTGATGGTAACTCCATGATGTATTTGTTCTTTATAAAGTATATGTTTCCCCTTCTAGTATTTTTTTTCATCATTCTTTCAACGAAGAAAATTTTTACTATAGCTCATAAAAGCCTCTCGCGTATCCTATATTCCCCTTCTTGTCATCCTTGATTTTCACGATGCGAGGAGAAGCCCATTAATGCAAGCCGATCGATAATTCCAGACATTATCGCGGTATCGACCCTAGCAATGGACGTTACTTACTGCTCGAGGATACAAATGTGTACTCGTATGCTTCGAAAAGCGTTTCTCTCGGAGTAACAACAAGTTAATACTTCAAACAGCCGCACTTTTCACAATGCGAAAGGGGCCCGCGTTCCACTTTTATAGATAAGTAGATTACGAGATGACGCAATGCAGTGGCAAACTCAGTAAGATAAATAATGCATAATGAAGCAAAAAGGAAAAACGAAAGATTTGTTCTCTCAAGATTTTGCAGAAGGACGACGTCATATTTAATGCAATACTCGCGAGAGGAAATATTGTCCTTCGAAAGCTACGCTTCCAAGCATTTTCATTCGTTTGTTACTCAAGAAACTATTGCCATCTCTCGACGTTTTTTTTTTCTTTTTTTCAGACAAAATTAATTTCTTGGCAAATTAATATTTCATTTAATTTCATTGCATCGAATTATTTTTCCGATAAACGTAATCAACATTGTTTCAACAGACTCGTTTATGAAAAAGTTAATTGCACACATTATGGCATATTAAAAACATAGGTACATATCATACGCTTATAAAAATTCAACGTAAAAATTAACGGACCTTTTTTATCGTGCTCCCCATATAAAAGATACAAAAGATATTAAAATTACAATATTTGAGTATAATCTTTGCAACCACAAGTAACAGATTTCTCAATAATTTTGTCATCGCGATACGACGTTGTAATCCAGGATCGCAAGAAACATTTAAGACGCTTAAGCATCGTCCTTTATTGCTACTTCTTGCCACCGTGCTCGGTACTTGAAAATGCACCGCGGAATTGCGAAAGGTTTACCCGAGTTTTCGGCTGTTTATTGTTCTTTGTTCATCGAGCGAAGAACGGCATGTCGATGCGAAAAGCGGGAAAGCACAGAATGGAGTCAATCGCCGAACTATGCATGCAGCCGCATAAATCGCATCGGTCTTTTTTTATCCTTGTCTCGATACATCGGGACGTCAAAGTGTTCCGCGATTGAAATCACGCGAACCGTACAGGGTAGTCCGTACGTACAACATGTATAGAACGACGAGCACGACGATCGATCTTATGCATAGTTATACAAAATTTGGTTCACCCAGCAGCCGAAACCTTGAACGTCCGACTACCCTTAAATGCCGAGGGCAGACCTGTCGATATTTAAATTAAATAATCGAAAGTCGATTATTTAATACATTTTAAATAAATAAAGGGCAAACACATTTTTTAAATTGTCACACAATAATAAAAAGAATAAATTACAAATGAAGAAAAGTAGAAATGAAAAAAATAATAAAAAAAACTCAATTTAAATTCAAATATATAGTAAAACGTTACGAGTTTTCGGATTGAGCCTCTCTTCAGACATTAACTTAACGAAAATCGCTGTACAAAATTAATTATCGAAAATACCCGAATATTCCTTAACAGTTCGGGTGAGTCTTGATGTAGAACTCGACATTATTCGCATACGATTGAACAGTCAAATGTGTTTCATATCTGTTGGAAAAAGTTCTATTTGATAAAAAAAGATAAAAATTGATAAATTTTCTCGACGTTTTGTTATTATTTCCAAAAATTTTGAAGAATGGATTTTATTTCCTTCCAGTTAGGGAGGACATTATTTCGATTGGTTTTGTGCGATTTGTTTACTCTCCCTTTTCGTCAATTTTCTATCTGCAAAA